CTCAATGTTCGATCATGCTAACGTGATTCCGACCTTACATCACGTTTCACGTGATATACGATCGTTCTGTGAATCTCTGACATGTTCGTTACACGACACGTGCATTGTGCGACGTTCCCTTACAGTACCGGTAATAATTATCACAAATTCGATTTCAAAAATTACGTCAAGAATTACTTTTGAAGTTTACTGCATGAAAAAAACAAAATTAACGTTAATGCAAATAATTCGTTTTTATATTAATTGGGCGTAAACACGCCACTAAATGTGGGACGTACAGTAACATTCAAATATTTCTGATATTATCATTTAACCAATTTAAGTACACGTAAGTACATACGTATGTACGTATATACAAAAATTCATGTGTTGTATGACATAAACAAATTCTACTACGGCGGCTTTATGGCCTAAACTCTCGTGGGTAATAAATTGTATGATCAAGTTACACCGCATAAGTATTTAACTGCAAATAGGGGATTATCTAAACAAATGCCAATTGCGTAAATCAAGAGAACTCTAGATAGAACATTATCGGCATAAACAAATAATCTTACTCAACAAATTTTACCCTTTCACTTTTCAAATCTCTGAACTAGTAATAACACGGTATATATCTTTTGCAAAATGTATCCAGGACAGCAATACTCACAGCAAAATCAACAACAGCAATCACAAAACCAACAATATCCAGGAGGATTTGTTTTACCATCAAATCAACAACAACAATATTATCCACCTCACGGCGGTTATCCACCAACTTCAGAGCCTCCAGGACAATTGCCCCCAGGCGGCTATGCACCACCTTCAGGACCACCGCCTAGTGGTTATACATTACCACCAGGACCGCCGCCTGGTGGTTATGCACCACCTTCAAGTACTTCCGATAGCTATGCACCACCTCCAAGTCAACCGACTGGTAACTATGTATCACCTCCAGGACCACCTTTAGGACCACCTCAAGTGCCACCTTCTGGTGTCTATCCACCGCCACCAGGACCACTAACTGGTGGTTATGCTCCACCTCCACAAAATCAACAATTTCAAAATCAACAATTTCAAAATCAACAATTTCAAAATCAACAATTTCAAAATCAACAATTTCAAAATCAACAATTTCAAGGTGGCTACATGGTTCCTCCACAAAGCGTAAGATACAATAATGGAGGACATAAAAAAGCATTACTTATTGGAATCAATTATTTTAAGCAACAAGGCGAATTGAGAGGTAAATAAATTTCTAATAAAAATTTTTTGAATTAAAATACAAACATTTCTAAAAAATATATATATTTTTTAAATAGGTTGCATAAATGATGTAGCTAATGTGAAAAGATTTTTAATCGAATCATATGGATTTCAAGAATCTGATATGGTGATTTTAACTGATGATCAGCAAGACCAAACAAAGATTCCATATAAAGCTAATATCCTAGAAGCAATGAAATGGCTTGTACGAGATGCTCGACCAGGAGATATGTAAGATTGATTATTTATTAATTGTTCAATTGATCATTATTAATTTAAACTAATTATTATTATTTTTTATTATTATTAGGTTATTTTTTCATTATAGTGGTCACGGAGGTCAAGTAAAAGATGTTGATGGAGATGAAGAGGATGGATTTGATGAGACTATCGTACCAGTCGATTATTCACAAAATGGACAAATAATTGATGATGTAAGTTTGGCATTAAATTTTAGCCTTTAACATTTAACATTCAACAATTATTAAAATTCAAATTATTTGTAGGAAATGCATGAAATTATGGTAAAGCCACTTCAAGAGGGTAAAAATAATTACGTATGCTTTAAATATTTTAATACAATAATATTATTATTTAATTAATTAATATATTATTCATAGGTGTAAGATTATTTGGAATTTTTGATTCATGTCATTCTGGATCAGCCCTCGATTTACCATATACATATTCCTCTCGTGGATTGATTAAAGCACCCAAGTCTATTACTGAGGACAAAGGTCAACTTATGAAAATGGGTATGTCACTTTTGAAGGGTAATAAAAAACAATTATTATCATTTGCAAAGAACAATGCATCATCACTTATGAGAACTGGAAAAAATTACATGAACAAGTCGAGTAAGGCAGATGTGATCACACTAAGCGGGTGAGTTAATGATGCTTTTAATTTATTTTTTTACATTTTTATATTGATTTGTTTTAAAAAAAAAAAATAGGTGCAAAGATGAACAGACGTCAGCAGATGCTTATGAGGAAGGAAGGAATACCGGAGCCATGTCTTATGCTTTTATCAAAGCGTAAATATGATTGTTAGAATCTATGAAATTTTCATATATAAAAACTTATATAATTTATTTCTTAATAGTATGGGAGAAACTAGAGATATCACGTATCAGCAACTTTTGAATAATGTCAGGGATATTCTTGTGTCTAAACAATATACGCAAAAACCTCAGATTAGCTCGTATGTCACAAATAATTTATAAAGTTTTTTTTTTTTTTTTTTTTCTCGTTTGATATATATTTATTAACTTATTTATAATTGCAGATCACATTATATTAACTTGAATTCAAAATTTCTCATATGATACATCAAGATTCTTTTCGATTTTTACTCTATATAATCTTAACGTAAATTTCAGCAGAATATAATTATCCCAATATTTTTCTTATTTTAAAAGGGCGTCTAAGATGGATCATGATGTTTAGGATTAGCACTAGGTTAATGTTAGTATAAAGACATGGGAAAGATGGCTTTACGACATTTTTCACTAATTTATGGAGCATTTGATCAAAAATGTTACGACTCAGAAAATTATAAACTGTAAATTCACAAGTATTATGATCGGCAATATCAATATAATACGTAATTAATCGATATTATTACGTACGTGATTAGCATTAAGAACTGACCTAGAACTGACCAGAGTGGATGATACACTACGCTTTGATTTTTGACTTAGGTAAAATTAAAAGATCTCTTATAATGATGATAAATATAACATTATAAAAATTAGTTACAGAAGATAACTTGTTTGAGTCTTAATTTTGAATAAACTTTAATTAAACAAAATATAAAAAAGCTAATAAAAAGAAGTTATAATATATACTATTAAATAATTATGCTTTTAATGACCTAATAATTATGCTTTTAATGACTTAATAATTATGCTAAATAAATAATATAACTAAATTTATATGAAAATTCGTATACCTACATATCATTTTGCAACATTACTTTTTATTTTTAGTGGGAAAGATATTCAGTTTCTTACATTTATCAACAAGCGAATTAATTATTTCAT